AAAGTAAATCATAAATTGTTGCTTGACATGGGTTCTAATGTTTAAACAAACTGTAATTAAACAAAGCCTGGATTTATGTTGTGTGCGAACCAGCCTTCTGTGCAGTACAGAGTCACTGTATTGGCAGAGGTTTGAATTACATTTAAAATGTCCGATTCCAGTTTTGCGAACATTGAATGTGTTAATAGTCTCAGGGAAAACAATCTATTTTCTTGTGACCATTTTACCATAACTATATCAGCGTGTATATGTGTGTGGCCAGATTGCCCAAATCTAAAGAATCTATTTCATGTTCATGAATGTTTGCCCTTTAAAGCCATTTTATTTTCTCTCCCTTCCCTCCCGCCCCGCCCCATTCTGCTTTCTTTTTCTGTGCTTTTGTAATCTCAGAAGTTTGGTGATACTGTACGGAGTATGATGATTTAACAATGCTTTTCAGTTAATCAGAGTTATCTGAGGGCTTCAAAAAGCTAATTTGGGTGGAGGCAATACTTCCTGTCCTTTTTCTTAATGGATTTTATGACTTCATGCAGAGGGGGAATATAAAAAAGTATCTTCCTTGTGATTGGACTGCAACAGGTAGCCGTATGCCATTTGTGGTATCATAATGTCATTATATTAACAATGTAACTTAGGAATGGTGGAATCACACAGAGGGAAAAAAAGAGGAAAAATAAAACATATTTCCTTCCCCTTATATGATGGGTGTTTATCAGTACAGGATGTTTTGTCATGCATACCCATTCTGCGAAGCTCCTGTTGATGGTGGTTTTATTCTGTGTATAATATCAGCAGGCTCCATTGCCAGTGTTTAAAAACTGAGTGGTAAGAATGAAATTGAAAAACATAATATATATAGTATATTATATACTAATATATAGTATAAAATGTATATTTGATTAGTCTGTATTTTTATGAAGTTTTTTCCCTATTTTCCTTTTTTGTTCTTTTCTTTTTTGGTAATTATTTTTAAAGTCGATTTTGTGTTTTCTTCAGTTTCTTTTTTTTAAGTGCCTCTTTCAGTTTATTTAGGTTAGCATTCTTTTTCTTTTATATATATATATCTTACTGTTTAATAGTTTAGCTTTTCCCCCCAAGATATAATGTCTGCATATGTAGTTGTTATGAACTGTTACATTATTAATATGTGATTCCTCCCCCCCAAATTTAATTATAATGTTTTAAAAACTCAAACAAACTAAGGCCTCTAGGATAGGTTCTCATTGTTTCACAGGACCAGAGTCTGCTGACCACACAGAAAGGATCTCTTTATGTTCTCCTTCTGAGATAGCTACCCTGCTGCTCCAAACTCAGAGAGTAGCATTAGCTAAGGAGAAAGCGGTGTGCAAGAAGCTGCTTCACATTTGGTTGGCACGTGCTTTGACTCAAGGTAATCCTAGGGATGCTAGAGGTGCATTGGATTGACAAAGCGGAAGGCAATACTCATGCTTCAGTTTCTGCTTCTGAGATGAACAGCAGAACGATGAAATCAAACTCAGTGCACACATGCTCACTCAGTAGGCATTTTTCCAAGGGGAAAGTGAATAATATAATCACCTCTTCTTGTTTGTAGAGGTGATTTCCATGTGAGAAGCACCACTCTGGATTTGTGGTAAGAAAGACAGTATATAGATTACAGGAAAACTAAAAGTATGCGACCAAGGGACTACCACTTCCCAGGCCCTGTTTTACTAAAGGTTGTTCTATAGCTAAGGGGTATATTCAAAGAACCCCTTTATATGCCCATGCTCTGTGTGTGTATGTGTAATTGACATGTATATAATTAGGTATAGTCAATTTCAGGTGGTCCAGGTGTCTCTGGACTGAAATATTTGTGTTTGTCTGGGCATGGACCCCAAATACAAGCATAAGCAAAAGGTTTTTTTTTTGAAAGTGTGTGTGTGGGGGGGGGGGAACAGATGAAAAATAAAGCAATTGGTAGTGAGCATTGCCTAAAAGGAAGTAAGGAAAGGGAGGTGCTGGGAAGATTGGGGAGGGCTAGTGGGCTTAGCTGTATGTGCTGCACTTACAGGGGTATTGGTGGCATGCAGTGGCAGCTAAGGGGGGTAGGTAAAGGACAGCACTGAAAGATGAGGAGATGGGCAGGCTGGCCATTTGAGTATGCCATGTTTGAAGCAAGGGCAATGGTGGTGGTGGTTGTGGTGGTGGTGGTGGTGAAGATAAGAAAGGAAGGCTCTGGGAAGTTTAACAGGAAGGCAGGTGCACAGACTATGCAAGGAAGGCCTTGCCCTACTCTTCCTGTAAGACCCCTCCAGATTTTGTTTTAGCTGAAACCTGGAACAACCAAAATGTTCCTGGATTCGGTGCTGCCAAATCACAGTCTACCTGAAATGATTCAGCCAAAGGTGATAAGGCCTGTTAGACTGGCCCACTCCAGGTGACTGATGGACCCTGTTGAGTTCCAGAGGGAGCTTAGGTTTTCCCTGAGGATCTGCTGGGCAGTTCAGCCGAGCCCTTGGTTATAGCCTGGAATAGGTGGGTGACTGAAGCCCTTGACAGGGTTGTGCCTACACAGCCTTTCTCTGTGCACTGATCCTAGGGTGCACCTCAGATCCATTAGATGAAGTACAAGAAATGATGCCTAGAGTGCATCATTGGAGAAAGATAAAGAGTGAATCTGACTTAAGATAAGTGAGAGCCCGTATTTGGGCCTACATCATGGTGAAAAGGGCAGCAAAACATTGTTATTTTTCTGCCATTTTTGTGTCTGCCAATAGCCGCCTGTTTTGAGTGGCCTACTCCCTATTAGGGAGAATTGTACCACAGGACCATCTGCAGGGTTGTGGTGAGGTATTTTCATGCTGCTTGGCAAATAAAGTCATTCAGATTTGCTTGAAGTTGGACTCTGACTGGACAGGTCCTAATGAGTTGTTCGGGATATAGTCTTGTGAGATTATCTGAACTGAGTTTGATCCTGTGACTCCCGAGGATGTGGACAGTGTACTCCAATCTGTTAGTCTGCCCACCTGTCTGTTAGATCCCAGCCCTTACTGGGCTGTTAAGGCCTATTTGAGGGAAGGGATGGTACCACCAGCCTTGAAAGAGGCAGTGGTGCACCCCATCCTCAAGAGGCCATAGCTGGACCCTTACATTCTGGATAAGTGGATAAGCCAGTTTCTGATCTCCCCTTTTTGAGGAAGGTCATGGAAATGGTGGTCAGACAGCAGTTGCAGATAATCTTGGAGAAAACAGATTATCTAGACCCATTCCAGACGGGTTTCAGACTGGGGTATAGTATGGATACAGCATTGGTCACACTTGTTGATGAACTTTGGCAGAATCAGAAAGGGAACGGTGCATCCATCCTTGTGCTCCTTGATCACCCCTTCCTCAGTGGTTGGTCTCAGTCAGTGTTGATGGGAGGGGAAGATTGCACCCATAGTCCCTTACTTGTGGGTACTTTTGGTTTGATGATCTCTCCTCTCCTGTTTAACATCTACATGAAATCGCTGGGTGAGGTCATCCATCAGTTTGGGGTTTGTCATCAGTATGTTGATGATACTAAGCTGTACATCTCAATCCCAGGCTGCGTAGATGAAGCTGTCGCTGTACTAACCCAGTGTCTAGAGGCTGCTTGGATTTGGTTGGGGAGGAATAGATTTTGGCTCTGTCCTAGCAAGATTGAATGGTTGTGGCTGTTTGGTCTCCCTGGGACAGGGAGATTTCCATCATTGCTCCTGGATGGGCTTGTACTTCCCTATTCAAGACTGATGTGCAATGTAGGGGTCTTCCTGGATTCACAGCTCCTGCTCAAAAAGCAGGTGGCAGCTATAGCCAGTTGGGCCTTTGCACATGTTCATCTTGTATGCCAGTTGTGCCCTTTCCTCAACTGTGAGACCCTTAAGACAGTCCCTTAATGCCCTAGCCACTTCATGACTAGACTACTGCAATATGCTCCACATGGGGCTGCCCTTGAAGACCATCTGGACACTACAGCTGGTACAAAATGCAGGGACACAAGCAATAATGGGCACTTCACGGTATGCCCATTGTCACTAACTGCTACGCGAGCTGCATTGGTTGCCAGTAGGCTGCCAGATGCAATTCAGTGTGCTTTATATGCAATTCAAGGTATCACAACCTATAAACCCCTTCATGGCATAGGGCCTGGTTATCTAAGGGACTGCCTATCTCAGTTGTTTCTGCCCACCTAGTACGCTTAGGCAGAGTGGCTCCAATTAAATGCTGCCATCTTGTGGGACTGAGGAAGCATGCCTTCTCTGTCATGGCCCATGACCTCTGGAACAGCATCCCCCCAGAGATTTGGACAGCACCTACTCTCCTTCTAAGGGTTAATATGGCCTTAGGTTAATATGGGTGTGATTTATTGGTCAAGCCCCAGTTGTATTGTTGGGGGGTTTTTTGGTTTTTTTTTTACCATTTGTACTGTTTGTTGTTTTATTCTGGGCCCCTGGTTTTTGCAAGTATTAATTTTTTTTTCAAGGATTTTGTAAGCTGGAGTGGGTGGCCATATTATATTCAATAAATTAAATTAAATTAAACTAAACTTCTAAGCCATGTGTTTATTTCTGGTTTGAGACAAAATACATTTTCCATTTTGCTCACACTCCTAATGCTCTGAAGTTTGTCTTTAAATTTCTTACTAATTTAGGAGCATTAAAATCTACTAACAGTAGGAGCAGTGGTGATGTCTACTCTTTGTGTGTATCTACATATATTAAACACATGCAGACTGAAAAATGGTTTTCAAACATCAGCATGTGAAGAGCTAATCTGAATTGTGGCAAAGCTAGGTTAAAATAAATGTGCTTAAATAACTACTTTATTTAAAATTAAAATTAAAAGATTGTATTTTTAAGGTGCAATATTGTTATTTTAAGATAATGTAACTTTATAGCCTTTTAACCTATGTGGTAATCAATTCAAATTTTTATGATTATAATGAAAAGTAGGTAACAACATTCATAAATTTACTTCAGAGCATTTGGTTTTCATTCTTTTATCTTTGTATTTTTTAGCCTTTCAGTAAATATCCTCCTGTAATCAATGATATATCCTTTTGGCTGCCTTCTGAAAAATACTGTGAAAATGACTTCTATGATTTAGTCCGAACTATTGGAGGAGACATGGTGGAAGAAGTCAAGCTCATAGATGTATTCACACATCCAAAGTAAGTCTAATGCATTATACCATGGTGAAGTATTTATGATCAATGTTTACAAATATTTACTAATATTCTAAATAGAGGTAAACATTTCATAATGTAAAAGCTGATGATTAAGTACAAATAAATGTAAATATTAATTCAATCAATCAATTTATATTGCCACTCATTTGCCAAGTGACTCTGAATGTCTAACAAGTTAAAAACATCAAAAATACATCAACCATAAAAAAAAAAAAAGCCACAACCATTACCATGGCTGAATCAGGCAGGGAGGGATGCTACATGCTACAGATGCCCTCCAAGTCTGTGAATTTCACCTCTAAAAATTTCCCAGAGAATATGGCAGTAGCTGAACATTTTGCATCTTGAAATCCACACATCTAGAAGATACCCAGATTAGGAAAGGATGGTCTAGAAGAACAAGCTGGTTGGGCAAGATTAACACCCGTTTAGTAGAAAATGCATTTGAGCTGATAAATTTATGATGATGGCAGGATGGTCAAGGAAGATGTGGTACAAGAAACCAGCTCAACTGCTTGTGGATAAACTCAGGTGCAGACATTGTTAGGCAAAGATATTAAGATCAGAGGCCAGTGAGCAATCTGAGGTTTTCATGAGCAGATATGCAGGATCTCGTAGAATAAGTCCTATTCAAAATTACATTTCTGAAAGGAAATCATACCCATACATGTATGTGGATTGTAGTTTGAATACTGAATGTTTGGGTTAAAGGCCCACTACTGATGGTATCTCTGTCAAATGTGAGCACCTTTAAATGGTTTCCATAGCAGCCTTTGCCATGTGCAAGCTGTTTTATGTACACTTCATATAGCTGAAATTATTCTCCTCTAATTTTCCAGAGACATTACAGATAAAAATTGTAATGCTCACAGATATTTCAGAATGGGGTGAAGAAAATTGTGCATCTATTGTTTATAGTGAGCGGATATATGTCTATTAATGTGTCAACTCACATAAATGCCATAAAGAATGGTTTGAAATGACTACCTTAGGGGAATCTAATTGAATCAGCCAAACTTCTAAATATATCCTGGATTCATTTTATCTGTCTTACATTAATAAAGGTTTTTTTTGGGGGGGGGGCAATGAGAAGCAATAACTTGCCCAGTAATGTTGTTTCATGGCTTATCAGAGAATTAAATCTTAGAAGCAAACCACTAATGTGTAATGAAACCCTTGGGGTGTTTTACGTTTGGTGAAAAGCAGCTTTGGAAGGAGATAGATAACAAGTAGAGGAACAGGGGAAGGGAACTATTTAAAGTTCATTTGCTTTTTACTTTGCAGTATCTAGTATATAGGAAGCTAAATCTTGAGTTGGAGGCTTGGAAGAAAAAAACGTTTTCTACCATAGTCATCAGTCCGTAAGCACAATTATGCCAAAATTATGAAACATGCATTGTGACATCATGATGCACACTCTGCCCTTTTGTACTTGGGTTGCAACGGTGCATGCAAGGGTATCAGGGTAGAGTTAACGTTGCGACACTGCTATGTATGTTTGTCACTTCCTCTCCCCTTGTCATCCCCCTTCAGACACCCATGTTTTCCACAGTTATATGAGAAAGGCACAAAAGAATAGGTAGGAAGAAATAGACAGAATTCTAATCCAGAAATGAAGTGGGCTGTCAGTAGTACAGTATATAGGAAGTAAATTTTTAATCAGAACAACTAAAAATAGTCTTTAAAAGATGCCACAGGATATAGCAAGCAACAAAATTGATTTTATTTTTGCTGCATCACCACAGTCTTTTTAAAAAGGCATTGAATGAAGAAATCTCTTTTTAGATCTGTGATTTGCTTGCTTACTTCCTACAAGCAGAGTTGTTTATTTGTAACTGTCTGAAACAAATATTAACACTGGGGCAAGAAAAGCTAATGGCTGTCATTGTTTAGTTAGATATGTTATTATTCTCAAAACCTTTGGGTGCATCTAGTTTTAGGATATAAAGATCTCCACTTTGAATTCACATGTTTCTGGGGGGGTTGGAACATTGGCAATCATCCATTCATACCTTTTGATCACCAGCCTTCAAAACACCATTTTATATTAGTTCTCATTTCTCCTTCTGCATTTCTAACAAGTTGTTCTTTTCAAATATACAAAGTAATTTTTAAAAAAAGAAATGGAGCTTCAATTTTGCATTGAAAAAAATTTTTTTTGCAGTCCAAGTAAGAAGGCAACACAATTTTCTATTAGAATCACATAAATGAAAACATAATCAGTTCAGATTTTCAGCATTTGATTGTTCATTCTGAATACACAGTACTTTGCAAAGTGTGTTGCCTTAACTTCAGTACCAATAAAGTCTTCAAGTAGTTTCTCAAACAAACCACCAAAGGAGAAGGGAGTGAAAATAGAATCCAACAGGCACTAATGTAATCAGTGTGGAAGTTATATTATTTGGATATGGAGCTTTTTGAATCATGTAATTTACTGTAATTTCTGTATCTGTCTAATACTTTAGATGAGGATTCTGGCATCTGCTGGAAAGGAGGTTGATTCTTGGCCTTTTATTCCTTCCCAGTTTAGAATAGCTATGAAATTAAATGCAGTAATGTCCGATTCAAAGTGAAAATTACTGTTCTCTTCATACTAGTGTTTGACTAGGTTGAAATGCAGATTTTCAGTCTGGCAAATTTTTGTTTCCATTTTAAATTAAAACTCTATAGAAAAATCCCCTAAATGAATCAAGGGGCAGATGGGTATTGGAACTATTTTCTAGTGTGCCTTTTATCTTTTTTTTAAACTCTTCAGAAACCTATCACATTTAAAGCAGTGTGGCAAGAATACAGACATTTTCTTTTAGAATGCATGTGACCCTTGTATTTTATCATCTCACTTCCATAACAGAAATGAACATACACGGTGGCCCAGAAAATGATACTGAAGGAGGATAAGCTAAATCATTTGTTTCCACAAAAAAAGCAATGTTGTCTATTGGGCTTTAAGCAGAGAAGATCCAATTATGGTTGTGATGAGGGAAACAGTCTGGAGAAGTAAATGGATAGGTGATAGCTCTGCTCTGCTGTTTTACTCCAGTTTCCATAGGAATTGGCTGTTTACAGTAGCATTTGTTAAATATCATAATTCCCATGTTGATCCTTGCATCCAAGAATTTATGTCCTGCAATTACCTTTAGAAGAAGAAAGAAACAATGATAGGAATGTTGTCACAGATATTCACATATCACAGGGGAAAGCTACATCCTTTTATGGATCCTTATGAATGATGTGTGTATTTTTCCAATGGCTCTTTGTGAAATAGGAGAATATTGTCTTTATGCACTTATATGCAGTCAGTCATAATGAACTGACTGCCAGGAAGAGACACTTCATATTTCATCAGCTTTCCTGTTCTTCTTTGCTACTTTTGCACTAGGCTCTCTTCCAACTGTTGTTTCTCAAGTCAAGTGGAAGTAAGTGGGAGAGGGCTAGCCCAGAGTATAGGACCATGGAGGAGAATTGATGAACAAAGGAAGAGTTAATAATACTTTTTTCCTTGATTCATTCTTTATAATTTTATTTTATTTTCCTTAAAACATCTATCTCACCCTTTTCCAAGGTCCAAGTGGTTTTAAGTCATAAAATATACCAATAGAGAAGAAACATACATTGAGCAAAATAGGCTTTGTGAATCACCAATTTTAAAGGGGTTAAGATCCCTAAGAGTATCAGAGGAGAGATAAAAAATTATAACTTAGAAACTGATAAATCCCATAAAACAGTATTTTTGTTTTAGATAATGATGACCATGGTGATGATGATTCAAATGTCCCAATACCCCCACATTCACAATAATGCAAAAGCAGTCTTAAAATCTTTGTTGAGATAATGTGTACTTTTGCTGTTAAAACACACACACACACAAATTGGGGGTGGGGATTAAAAGAGTTTTGAAGAATTCAAGGTTATTTATGATATTTCTAAATCACAAATAACCTTGAATTCTTCAAAGATTTTTTAATCCCCACTCCCAATTTGTTCCCCCCCCCAAGCAATGGCTGTTGTTCTTTCCATAAATCTTGTCCTAAGTCGCTATTGTAAAAATAACATAATTACATTTTCATTTAGGTGCACTTACCTGTATGTGAAAAATCAGTGGCCCAAAGGTTTGAACATGTTAGCCTGTTTTGGCCACCTTAAAAATGCCTTCCTAACCATATGTTTATATGATTAACTGTTACAGCTATTGAAATTATCAAACGGGTCAATGCTGTTTTTCAATATATACATACATATAAAAATCATATTTAATTAATAAATTATAACTGCCCCAGAAAACCCCCTGAGGACTTAACAAGGAAAGAACTCTATTAAGCAAGAAAATATTATTCCGGTATCTTAGACACTTGATCATTTAAACATTAACATGGACATGTACTTAAGCAACTAGAATATTGGTGATTTAGATAGTTGGAAGTTGCATGTAAGATCATTTGTTTTAATAAAAATTAATTCACTGTTAATCCATAAATTAACTGAATATATGACCATTCATGATGATTTATTCCACATTATAAGCACATGCATATTAAATATGTGAATGTGGGACCAATCACTTTTAAAAAGTAGAAAGCAGAACCTATGAAAATGACTCCATTGCATTAGGATATGCTGTTTTAACACATCTGATTTTTGAATGTGCACAATCGTGATCCTTAAAGTCACTTTTCATAATTTTTTCTGTGAATGTTGCTCATCCATATAGGAACCTAGAAAGTTATTTATAAATAATCGTAAATAAGTGAATGCAGAGGACTGAAGCTATCCCTTTCAAAGACTCAATTTGGAGCTAATATCCAATACTATTTAATGAAGATTTAATTAACCTTTAACTATAAAAATTTAGTCCTTTACATTTCTAAATATAACCAATCAACCAAACCATTCCTCCTATCAGTTATGGCTGGTAATAGACCCAGTCTCACGTGGAAGTCTGTTAAAATGCTGGAAATTATGTTTGCAGTATTTCATATAAGATT